GAACTACTTCAGCAGGAAAATACAACCTTAATCTTGTCGCTAAATTCGTAACAAAAAAAGGGTTTGGAATAAAATACGGGGATACTGATTCTTTGTATCTCTCCTGTCTAGTTAAGTATTATAAAAAATGTGATGAAGCCTTCTCTAAGAAAGAACTTTCTAAAGAAGCATACTGGACTGAAATGGTCAAAATTACTATAGATGTGATGAAAAAGTTACGTGATCAAGTCAATGAATATCTCAAAATAAAAAATAACACATCTTATCTAAAAATGGCATATAAGGAGATATTATTTCCTGTTTGCTTTACTGGTAAGAAAAAAATACTTTGGTGTACCACATGAAAAGGATATCGATTTTAGGCCAGATAATCTCTTTACACGAGAGATTGATACTGTAAAGCAAGAGAATTCAAAACTCTTTAGATTTATTGGAAAAAAGATTATGCAGGAGGCTATGAATATTGACAATACATGTACGATTCATGAAATTGTTGAAGACACTCTCAGAAAAGCACGAAATAAGAAATGGAATTTCAATGAATTTATTGTAATAGGAACATGGAAGCCAAAAAAAGAAAATCTTTGCAACATTCACTATGAGAGAGAGAAGTGAGAGGATTCCTGATCCCGGCGAATGGTTTAGTTATGTAGTTGTGAAGGGCCCCTGTCTTCGTGATGAGAAAGGCCAGTTAATAGTGCATAGAGTTGGCGATTATATAGAGTATACGGATATAGCAAAAGAGCAAAAAATGGAAATAGATATCAATTATTATTTAGGTAGTACGCTTGCAATGTGTACACATTTTATCAATGAAGAGACAGGTATCAACCGCCTTCTTCATATAAGATTATGCAACTCAAAGATTCGGATGAGAAAGAAAAGCAGATCGATGCATATTCCTAGAAGGAAGCCAAAAAATAGCTGGAAAAATATATTAAAAGTCTATAATAAGTATCTTACTAATACTCCCAATATAAGTAATACCTATACAATAATAAATTAATATTTTTTTCGTATATAAAAAATACCCAAGTTTAAATAGATAGTTCCTAATACCTAGTCCACGTATCCCGTAACCGATCATTTTTTTTACTTATACTTAATCCACGTCTCAACACTACGAACCACATAACTGCAATAATTAGTAAGGTAAGAAAAATAGCGGTGACATCAAACTACTTGCTATGACAGGAAGAGGCAGAGCCTCGAGACTAGGTCTCATCGCTCCTATCCCTCCTATTAGAAGAGGCAAAGCCTCGAGACTAGGTCTCATCTGGGAATTCGATTTAATCAATGAGGATATGTGTGCTTTGTGATATTTTTATTATATAGTTTTTATATTCTACTTTCTTACATTAAATGTATTAGAAAAAAATCTGAAAAATCATATGACTTCAATCATATTATAAAAATGCAAGATTATAATGAGATTGATACTAAAGCCCTTACTTATGCCAAAAGATGTGAAGGACAATGCTTGGCTAAAGTTAGATCAAACCCTAATATTTATTTATGGGTTTGTAAAAATCAGCATCGATGGAAAGCATCCTATAGAGATATGAAACGAAATTATAGGTGGTGCAATAGTTGTCCTCATATATTTGAAAGATCATGTCAATATATATTTGAAGAATTATTACATAAAAAATTCCCACCTTGAAAATCTAAATTTTTAGGAGGCTTACAACTTGATGAATATAATGAGAAATTATATTTGGCCTTCAAATACAGTGACAATCAGCATTATCAAATCGTTCCTTTTTTCTATCCACAAGGACAAATTAATTTAGATGCACAAATTCAACGCGATTGGAAGAAGAGAGCACTCTGTTTTAAGGAAGGTATAATTCTTATCACAATTCCTTATTGTGTTGTTGATCTGCCAACTTTCATCAAGAGTGCCTTGAATGCATTTGGTTTCCTCCCAATACCCACCTAAGAGGTAAATGCATATCCTTTACAATTTGAAGTTCTTCTCTCACGAATAGGCATCTTGGACCATTATGTAGCTTGTAGAGAACTGGCTGGTTATTTTTTCTTGAAAATGATTCAATTGAAAAAATTTCAGGAGACTAGTTACAATCAGTAGCCCTCCTTCTCCAGCCTTCTAGTTCACCAGGTTCTAATAGATGTCGAACTTTAACATCAGATAATAGGAGGGGTTCATCATAACCTATGGACCTTTTGTGCTTGACAGCTGGATCTGCAAAGATTTTCTCACCTTCTAATGATTTTTTTACAGCTTCATTGGGCAATATATGTATTAACTTCATAGGGAAATCATTATATTTATCATCGTTAATATAAAGGCCGACAACCCACTCCCTAGATCTATCAGTCAATGGTAAATATAAGTCCATAGTATCTTGGTGAAAAAAGGCATGTTTTTCAAATTCTTGGTGATCTTGCTAGGCGATAGCCACACTTCGTTTAGATTTAGCATACTGAATTCTCATGCCATGTCTGAGAAATAAATCCCTACACTCACCCATATATTCGGTTCCTTTATCCACGATTAAAACTTTTGGCCAGCTAAGTGGGCAATTTGGATCATCATAAATTTTCTGAATCTCTCTAGCTATTTGCGTAGCTGTTTTATCAGTCAATGCGAAACTGTGCCGATATCTAGTTGCAATATCCTTTATCACTCCTCGATATTTATAAGTTTGATTGCCAACTTTATCGTGAGGCATAGGTGTAGTATCAGACTGGTGTACTTTATTTAATATTCGTATATTGTTAAAAGAAGCA